GAATTTTTTTTTTGGTGTGTAGACGATAGATGTGACAAGTCCTCATGGCACACCCATCAACTTACTTGACAGATTAGTGATTATATGAACTGAAACGTATGGATGCGCGGTTTGTCCTTTCTTCTTATTCTTTTCTGGATTATCTGACTTATGTTTGAGGTACTGTGAAGTGGATTTAGGCCAGATGTTGAGAGTTATGGTCCCTTTTGTGATTTATTCTTCAATGGCAGATATGGTTATTCTTCAATGGCAGATATCATAATGATTGCTGTTGGTGTTCATCTAAATGATTTTGGGTTTACAATCATAAGGTCAATAGAGTGAGATTTCTTCCCAGCATCCTTCAAAGACTTGGTGGATTGACATTTAGAATTCTAGAATATGTGTCTGATAGAAGCTGCTTTACATGTTTTTGAAGGAATCGATATTGCTGCAGTTACTCCGAAGATGAAAATCACACTTGCTAGACGAGGATACCATCCCAGAAAACAATCTCAAAATTATTCCTTGATGCCCATGTCATTAGATGCTGTTTGCTCCTGGAAGCAATATTTCTAAAAGCGAAATCTCTTGAGGCTCTCGGGAGATATAAAGGTAGTTTTCAACTACTTGGTGAAACTTCAATCTGTTTTCTATAAGTCCATATCATACATTTCTGTTGGCTTTTTGAATTTTGAATGCCTTTACCTACTTTTGCTGCACTCTGATCATTCTTCTTAGATGTTCTTTCGATAGTGATGTCATGTTAAGACTACAGTACATTTTTGATTGCTCATAATTATTAGATTTTACGGTCACTCTCTTAAAATGCTTGTAAGATTTTTCTTGACATTTATTGCCCCTTTGCCAGATTACTTGGAAAATAGAGATTGCCCCCTTATTTTGTTATTCTTCCAGTACTGTCCCATGTATTACTATAATTTTCCGCTTCATGCAATTGAAAAGTTGAACTTGGAGGGCTACCACAATCAAAACACCTTGACTCAGGAGTTGGATTCCAAAAGACTTTCTATAATTTCATGATAGAAATGGTGGTGTATTTCATTGTACTGGAATTTGTGGGCAATAAATTTACCGTTACTGAAATTTTTAAATTTGCAATGCAATTGATAGCTATTTAATTCGGTCTACCGACTCGTGTAAGCGAGATCATTTCTATTGAATAACACTTAATGCCTAGCTTTTGTACTTCCCTTTGTGTTTTGGGGGTTTGTATTCTAACACTGACATGCATGAATGTAAAGCTCTTGCTTTTTGCAAATTTTCCAAGTTTTCCTCTGTATCGGTGACAAAGAGGAGGAGGATTTGCAAGGTCAACGCAGCAAATTTTTATTGCCTGGCTAATACACAATTCCTGTAATCTTGCAGAAGATGTTCAATCATGCTCAGTTATTCTGGACATAGTTGAATCTTCATTAGCAGCAGAGAATCAGTAGTCAAACTAGATTTGGTACTGTTAATAGGGAAATGAGGACAATGCGGTGTTAACTTGAGAACAACTGATGCTTCTTTTGCCGAGTCTCTTTATGGGTTGAGAAGAAGAGCGGTTAATATTAAAGTAAAAAATGTAGAGAATGCCTCGCTTGATAGTTTTTGATTTCGCTATCCAGTTCACTAGCCAGTTACATTATCAGAATCATTGCCAAATTCATGTGATGAAATAGATTTAAAGTTTTTGCATTTCCTTCAAGTTAATAGCACTTTGGATTATCAACCGTGTTGTTTTTTCCTTTGTCAACTGTCATGCATTTTCATATTGATATACAAAAAAAAAATTGCATAACATGCTGGATAAAAGAAGAATGCACCGAAATTCATTCACTCCCTTAATCCTCATATTTGGCAGGGCATATTGTCTTTAGTTACCTACGCGCATCGCGCGTTTTATACCTCCTAGTCCTGTATAAATAGGATTGGAAATATGTGTAGTCATAGGCTATCAAAATTTGCGATAGAACTAGTTACTCGTGGAAACATGAGACTCATGAGCAAACATGATTAATTTGGTGGCCATGCAAAAATATTTCATGTGAACTGCTGAATAGCACCAGGAAGAGAACCAAACTTTGGGAATACAAATGATATTTTATGAGAAACAATTTATGAGACTTGCTCATCTAACAACAATCACAATACAGCTAATATATAGTCAAAGTTTATCAATTTATTCACAGATGCAAAATATGACATGGAACCAAAGCAGGACTTCTATGTGAAAACGTAGAGATAGCTGCCGAAGTTTCTGTAGCACCCCTGACATACAAGAAAAATAATAATAATCACATCATTTTCCAAAAAATCAAATTACGTAACTAGTGGATGAACTATAGTTTGGTTTGATTTCACTTTTAGCTGCACAATCACAGTGAATATTTTCGATTAAAGAAACTAGTGGAGTTTGGTTCGATTTCACCTTTAGCTGCATAACCACAGTGGAGGTAGAAAATTCTTGTTTACTCTTTCAATCAAACGAAGCCTATGATTTCTTGTGAAAAGGAAAGGCACTGATTTTGGAGCATCATCGTATTTGATTTGGTTTAGATTACAACTGGACACTGTTAATGTTGGAGCATTGCTGTTAGTTAAGCAGTCAAAATTTAATTCTCAGAATATGTCGAGTACTTTCCACATCTTATTTATGAATAAGACCCGATATTTCTTCTAAATTTTTTTCTTTTTCTTATTTTTGAGGGACCAATCAACAACACTAATCATCAACTAGAAGATTAACACGAAGGGAATTGTGATTTTGAGAATATGGAGGAAACTGAAAGCAGTTACCCATGGAAACATGAGACTAAGCAAGTATGATTTATTTGGTGGCAATGCGAAAAATGTTTTATATATGTCAATTGTTGAATATCACCACGAAGAGAACCAAGTTTTGGGAATTAAATAACTCTTGATTTAGTTACCAAAAACAAATTAATTAATATATGATGTAGAATGTAAATTAACCTTTTCAAAAAATTTTATGACTATACAAATGTGTTAAAAATCAATTTTCATCAATACATTATATTGATACCTTGAAAACCATTATAAGCACAATATAGTTTATAGGGCAAAAATTGTTTAGCACGTAAATTTGGGAGGTTTGTATGGAAGTTAGCTAATCTCCTAATTTAAGACCACAATAAAACATATGATTTCATGATTTAGTAATTTAGTTTTTTTTTTCAAATTTTTATTTTTAAGTGTAGATCTCACTTGCGCTTTTTTACCCCTTACCACCCAACTCATCCCTCCCCCTAGTGATTTAGATTTTCTTCAGTAATACCCCTATTATAACATATAAGATAATTCTATGACTCCTAATTTGAGTGGTTTTTTAAATTTATAGAGAGTATTCGTGTAACATTAATGTTAAAGTCTTATTTTTTTTTCTAGGAAGGAAATTGTATTTTTTTTAAAAAAAATTTCTATGAAATAGAATAGAATGTTGTGAATAACATTCTTTTTCTTCTGAGGAAATTACAAGAAATTAACATACAACCAATCATAGATACAAATTACATAGATAAATCTTCTATTGCTTCGTTCATCACGAAGGCATTAAGAAAATTTCCAAACTAACTTCTTGGAGGTTATACAGCTATATATGTTACAAGTTCTTGCTTGGAGTTTAAAAGATACCACAATATGAAAAGTACAACTCCCACAAACTTCTAATTAATTATCACAGGAGATCAAATAATCAAGAAACGGAATCTGCTAGAAAATGACTGCAACCTAGAAAAAGAAGGCAATTAGATGGTTGGCGGTAGACTTCCGCATCATCTTCTTCCACACGGAATACTCAGTGCCACTTCTATATTTATGGCAAGTGTTCTATTTATTTAATTTGTCATATATTGTTTATTTAAATTTCTTCTACCATCACGTGATTAGTGGGATTGACACTGGATTTGACATCGAGTAGTGGCACAGAAGATCCCAACTGATTTTCTTCAACTCTTGCATAGTATTACAAGCCTTATTCTTAACCTCAGAAGGGGGATCTAGTAGAGTGTGGACTGACATCATAAAAGACCACAGATTTTTTTTCATGATATTTATTTTCACACATACAAATGCAGCAGCATATATAGGCAATATTGATACTCCGGATATAAACACGTGATAGGTTAGTAACACAAGTTATACTAATTTGTGACATGCTCTTCTACAAAAAGATTAAGAATTAAAAAAGTTGATTGAAAATATTTATTTACAGAAAATACCAAGTATAAAAAGACATGGAAGGGGGAAAAAGCCACTAGTAGTAAATGGAAATGTCAAAAAACATTAAGATGAAAAGCAGACGTTTTGGATAACATTACCAAAATGCCTTTTCATGCAATGACAATTGCAGTAGGACAATAGACTTGTAACCAGCTGAATTCATATGGGGTAGGTAATTTAATAGGTATTGCACATATAAGAATAAAACTAATTGAGTTGCTAATAGTAAAAGTAACAAATAATAAGATCATACTAAAAATAATGATTAATCGAATATGAATAGTAAAATATAACGATAAACAAACATTAGATGTTGTTTTGTTTACTTAATTTCTTTTTTGCATCGACGAATCATGAGTTCTAATCTGCTTATATCTATTCAAATAATTGAGTTAGTAGATTACGCATGGATTTTCGTGTGACAAGCTTATGGAATTTTTTAATGCCAGATTAGTTTTTGTCAATTACTGATAGGAAAATTGAAGAAATAAACAAACTATAACTACTTAAAAAATTATAAGTAAAATTTCATTTAAGAATGCGATTGTAAGCATATGGTTAGTAATACTAATTGAAAAGCAAGGAAATAGTGGCATGAGAAGAAGGGCCAAGAAAACAGAAGAAGAAAAAGAAACTGAAATAGACAAAAGGCAGATTTGGACACAAAAGAAGGGTCTAGTGCGGATTAAATAAATCTCAGTGGTGCAAATTGCAATTGGGTGCACAGTTAAAGCGGGTTTGGTGCAAATAACTCAGACAATTGAGTTAAAGCGCGCGAAGCAGAGAGCGACGCTTTGAAATTGTAAGAACAAACAAAAATAGTAGCAGCACTACCGGCGCTGGAGCCGGAGTTGTAGAAGAGAAGGATGAAGTTCGCCGTCAATAAGGGATGGAGCAACGGAAGAGCCCGGTCAGGGGTTCTGCAGCTGGGCAGCTGTCCTTTCCCAATTCAGACTCCCGCTCTGCTCCTCACAACCCGCAAAGGCCTGCCCGCTTTCATCTCTCCGGACCTCCTTACCTCCTCTCTTCCTTCTCCGGATTCTCACCTGCTCCAGTTCAGCCCGCTTCACTTGTAAGCGCTTGGCCCAAAAAAAAAAAAAAGATTTTATTTACGCTCAAAAGAAGCAAAATTTTTGTCTATGAGATGTTATCTTGTCTCTCGCGTACCAGGTGTTTGTTGTCTGGTCTGTTCTGTGCTGGAACCTTATACCAGCCAAGCCAGCACTAAATAGTCTAATACTGCTAACTAGTTTGTATGATTCAATTCATGCTAGTAAGTACAGCTGCCGTGTTTCTTCTCCAGCTTAGAGGGTATTTCTCCTAAAACAATATCTAACATTGGAGGACTGCACCAAATGCTTAGTCTGCACCAACACATATTCGCGGCCGTACCGCGGGATTCCATCATTGCCCTTCCTGAACATGACAGCACTAACAAATATGGAGCGTCTTTCCAGACTCCTGGAGGCCGTCTTCTGGTTATTTCATTTCCCCTTAACCTCCTTTTTTCTTTTTAAATGTTTGAGTTTAATCCTTTGGAGTGTGATGGTAACGTTTCATGCTCTGAGAATCTGTATAACGAGTTCTGCACTTTCATGAATGAATCAGATAAAACCTGCAGAATACGTGGAACTTGTTTCTTCAATGAAGCCTGACTTTTGGGTCACTTTGGCTGATGAAGTTCCTGCTTGGGTTTCTGATAAGAGGAACAGAACCTCAGTTGACCGCACTCTGAGATGGCTCGACGATTGCCTTTCACTCAATAAGGTTAACCCCCTCCCCCGCCTGCCCCCCCCCCCTCTTCCGGGGTGTGTAGCTTTGTGTACTGATTGCTAACTGGTAATAGATGTTAACTTGTCAAGAGCTTAGGGCATTTAGGTCAAACTGATATCTACTATGAAAGTCAATCCAACTCAGATGGACCATTAATTCTTGCACAGCCAAAATGTAATTCAGGGGATTTCTAATGGTGCTCAGCTGCTTAAAGGAAAGTGAGGATTACATGGTTTTGAATTTTATAGGATCCATGCTCAGGAGATTATTTTTTGTGCACATTTGTAAGTTCATATTGATCATTTCATGGACTGGTAGAATTCTCAACTTTCTACTAGAGATGCATTTATTCGTACTATAGGAGTTTACCCAGAAGCTATTTTTGTTATAAATTTCTGAAGGCTTACCAGGTTGCACATTAATTATCACTGCAGACAGGTACTACTATTTTTGGATCCATTGTAGGAGGCTCCAGCATTGAAGAACGGCATCGGTGTGCACAAGAAGTTGCACAAAGAAATGTATCAGGTCTGGTCATTTTACTAGTATCTTGTTTTATGTTTGTGTCCTGTTTCAAGTTATTAGCTTACCTTCTGAGCTAGTATCTTTTATTTTAGACTCATTTCAATGGTTGTTTGACTTTGCAACAACTTTTGAGGCAGAGTGGTGATAACATTGGCTTTGTCCTCCCTTTATAATCGTCCTACATTTGCTGCTTCATATTCAGCAGACTTTAAGTGCTCTCGAACCCCTTTACTATGTGGAGTTGAATCTAAATTGTGCTCTTTAAGCCGGAATCTCTGACAGGAATTGCGAATTCCTGGTTTTTTAAACAGTCTATTGTTCCTTTATATTAAAATTCTGGAATTTGAAAATTTCTGGGATTTCAAATCCTGATTGGAATACAAAATCCTGTCTAATAAAAAAAAATAAATTTAAAATTAAACATTCTATGTTCTTGAATTTCAAATTCAAAAGCTTGTGAAAAGAACAAAACCTTAAATATCAACTCTTTTTCAATTAAAACTTCAAAGTAAACATCGACTCGAGCTCTAGCAGTACCACAAACTCTAATACAAGGTCTAGCCGTGTTTCAAGTACATGACTCTCAGTGGAGTGTAGCATTTAAGAGATCTTCTGTAGCCCTTTCCCACAAAAGAATTGCAGGGTTTATTGGGCTTGGTTTGTTGCTTGAAAACCAGTACATAGTCCTATAAGCTTAGGTTATAGAAAGATGAGATTTAAGTTGTTTCAGGCACTAGAAAATTTTATTTGAAATCATTATGGTGTGTTTAAAAAAAGGGGACAAACATACTGATCTGTCTTCCTTTCCATCTGGAATACTCCAACTTAGGGTTATGAATTTGGTGTCATGAATAGTACAAACATTTTTAGAGTGCACGATGCTTTGTGGATCTTAGTGAGGAAACAGAGACTGGAACACTCGGATTTCAAATTTCTTGTCAATTCTACAATTAGAATATGAAAATTGGCTTGCAGGATATTGGATTGGTGGGTTTGGGCTTGGAGAAAGTATGGACGAGCGGGCTGCTCTTCTCACTGCTGTTACGGTAAGACTTAAATCTAGTGCTAGAAACATCATTTCATATCCTGATTTGTCTACGGTGATGTTGGCTATTTCCTTGATTCAATATGATTGTTTAATTGGAAATATGAGATAATATTTTGCAGTTACTAAAGGTTATTAATTGCTGGAATACTTATGCTTTTGCTTGTCTGCCTTTATTAAAGGCTCGTTATCCAATAATGTAAGTACAGGTTTTCTAGAGATTCCCAACATGCTGCTTTAAGGATTTGTTGATGCTAGCATTGTATTGACTTTTATTTCAAGAAGTCCATGGGAGACTATGTGATTGATGGAATGGTAGCTCAATTTATTTCAAGCATCACTTTGCACCAGATATCATTGAAAGTGCCTGTTGTGACACAAAATCTGATGATTGGAAGATATTCAGTGTTTGCTAATGTCATTCTTGAACCTGAATTAGAAAGCATTAATTGTTCATTGTTGTCTGTGCATCATGTGTCAATAATGGAGTCAGACTTGCTTTCTTTCAGAGGTCTTTAATCGGCTGATGTGTCGAGTTAATCAGCTCAAGTTCTGCTGTGATCGCAAAATTTGAAGAATTGAGCATTGTTAAAAAGGAGTATTGTAGATTCCTATGGGAACTAGATTATACGTAATCCATTAGATATCAATTTGGTGTAAGCATTAATTTCAAGTTAGTCCAGTTGAATTACTTAAGTTAATCCTATGCTCATCATTGATTTAGTTTATCTTGATCCTTTTGCATAATGTGATCAATTGTGAGAATGATGTTTACATTTATCTGTTGGTTTGGGCTTATCATCAATGGACCCAGGACAATTTACCAGAGGATATGCCAAGGCATGTCTCTGGACTTGGACTTCCAGGTAAGGGAAATTATTTCAAACCCTTAACTTCTTTTTTCTTTTTTTTTTTTTGGGGGGGGGGGGAGTGTTAAGGGTGGGGGAGGGGTGTGCATGATGAAAGATTTTGTTTGAAGCCTCATGTTTGATCAAATGATGAGTTAAAGAATAAATTAGTTTTTTTCTTCATCAACTGCTTAATCATATTGCCAGTCCTAAAAATAATCTTTCTTAAAGGATCATGTTAATGTTGCGTTCAATGGGACTTTTGTTATGCTTTGAGCATCTGGGATTGTGTGTTGTTCAGCAAAGCTATTTTCTGTCAACAGAGGAGGTGTTGCAGGGAGTTGCTGCAGGCATTGACCTATTTGACTCTACGTATGTTGGTAGTTTAACATTCTTGAACATTTTACTGGCTACTCAGGAAAGTAACTAAAAGCTGTCAGGGTTATAACAGGTATGTTTACCATCTTACACTTGGTGGATTTGCTCTAACCTTTCCTCTTGAGAGAAATAAGGGTGACAATGCCGATTACCAGCTAAGTGATTCGGGAGGTGATGACATGAAGATCAATCTGAAAGCTACTATATATAGGTAATAACAGATCTGGAAACCTCTGGATGCTTTCTGCTAGTATTTAATATATGTTAGTTGAGCATGCTGAGACAAGTATCATGAGGTGTTCTTCCTTTTTTCCTTTTGACAGGAAAGATACATCACCAATTGTTGAAAGCTGCAACTGCTTCACATGCCAGAATCATACAAAGGCATATTTGAATCACTTGTTCAACGTTCATGAAATGTTGGCACAAACTCTATTGGAGATGTATGAATTCTCTTGGAACCACTGTTATTTCACTGTCATGTACTTATCTAATATGATTATCTCTGGCTGTGTTCCAGACACAACACACACCAGTATCTGGGATTCTTCTGCTCAATTAGAAAGGCTATTGAAGAAGGCAAGTTTGAGCAATTCCGGAGGAACTTTGTTGAAAGTAGACGTGAATGTCTCTTTGCTGCTGCATCGAGTGATTAACTTGTAAGTTTTTATATGAGATTCAGACAACACTTCAACGTAGGCATTTTTCTTTAAAGAAACCATGCTCCTTCTGTAGATGAGGAAGAGTACAATGAACGTTGATTGACCTTCTTCTTGTACCAATTAATTCACCGTCTATTTCTTCTTTTCATTGGCAGCATGGTATTCAGACCCTTTTTTCTTTTTTTTGTTTTTTTGAAATCTGAATTTTGGTTTGGCGCAACAATTGCTCGTGGTGGTGACTTGTAAGGTATAGAAATCAACAGATCTGTTGACATCGGGTACTTAATTTGTGGTGTTAGTGATCTATTCGTGCATTGGTTTGCAGGAGATCAAATGAATTCATTCTGGACTCTCTGATGATGTTGTTAATACTTTTGATGACCAAATGGAATGTGCTATTTTTTACGAGGAAATGTTAAGCTTGTACCGGAAAGAAGGGAGGTGGATTACCAGTTACTGGTTTTGAGCGATTTTGTGGTGTTGACAGTTATGGATGCCGTGAACGGTGCTAGTTATGGATGCAGTGGATGGATTTGTAAGGAACGTTTCCTTGCATGCTCGTTAAGTTTTTGATTTGGGGGATTGAATTTCATAAATTTTCTTAACTTTCTGGACTCCTCTATGAAGTCCTCTTCGTGTTGAAAAACCAGGAGTAGAAAGAACAAGAGACAGCTCTCAGATATATACTACATACGTTGCTTGTTCCTCACCAGTCTGGCGGTGGTTGGAATTATGAGCAACAGAGTACGAGGCAGGCATGTCCATGGTACCGGGTGCAGGACGGGCACTCACAGAACAGACTCTTGGGTCCAAAAGGGCAGGGGCGGCTTGACTGCGTCTCGAGGGACCGGACTGGTATTTGCTTACGTTGAATAGTTTGAGTGAGTCTTTAATTTGTCACTTCATTCCGACCAAATGTTTTTATTTTCTTTTCTTTTTTTCCGTCTGAAAACCCTTGAGGTTGACCAAGAAAACATGTGCTCGTGACCAGATCATATTGGGCTGCATGCTTTGCAGTCATGTCCGCACGTTCATATTGTGTTGTGGTAAGGTATTAATCACTTCGATGAGTGGTTGAAATAGGTGGGTAGGATAGGAATATGAGCATTTTTTTGGGTAGCTTTGAAATTGTCTTTGATTAAGATAAGGAATAAAAAGAAAAAGACGACACTGGACACTGCAGCTCTCCGGATTCGGCAAAGTCAGAACAGAAGCAAAGACTTTACAATCTTCAACCTTGAATGGCTAATACAAAAGTAGTAATATTGCTGGTATTAGTAATAGTTTAATTAGTATTAGTACTACCACCTTAGTAGTTCCGCGCCTAATATTGCTGGTATTAGTAATAGTTTAATTAGTATTAGTACTACCACCTTAGTAGTTCCGCGCCTCCAGACGAAGTCTCTCTCTTTTTTTTTTTTTTTTTTAAAAATATTTATATAATCTAATTTATCCTATTCTATACGGTGGAAGAATTAAAGAGACTGTGAAAAGGAATAGCAGATAGTCAAATCTGAAATCACATTCTAGATGAAGGCCTTTTGGTCGTTGTGTGTGGGGGGGGGGGGGGAATGTTTCAATCAAGCCAGGCCAAAATATCTTATTGTAGGACTATAAGTCTAGTTTACTTGTCTTGACTGACTTTTCTTCAAAGATTTTGGAGCAAAACATAAATAAGATGAATGGGATATAAAGTTAACAAGGACTTTAATTTGCAGATTCTTTCTGTAACTTATTTGACATAGGAACCAGTCATCTTTGGAATTGGAACGATTTCAGGATAGCTGAAATGAAAAGCTCCCTGAATTTGGTGTCTGTCTTGGTAGTAAAAACATGCGTGCAATCATGCACCCGGAGCTAGCAGAAGCAAAAGGGTGATTATATTGAAATCCTGTTGGCTTAAGAACCAAAGAGGATGCTACAGTAGTAGTAACAGTCAACCAACTACAATCACGGCCACATCTTCAGGGGACTGGACCGCAGAGGCCTCATTCTCAGACCCCGCGGGGTGGGTTTGACTATCGCGAGGACTTGAAATTTGGAAAGCCATTTTTCAAAAAAAAAAAAAAAAAATTGTTATGTCTTCATGTGAATATATTTTCCAATCATCTTTTTACTTCACATATATCAAATCGCTATAGTAATTTTTCTACAAAAAAATTCAAAAAATTGTAATCCAGACATCCTATACATCTTTTTGGGAGGGGAGGGGGTGTTATCAATTTTATGAATTCGGTATCAATTGTCATTTTCATTCTTATAACGGTCAATCCCTCCATTTTTATCATCCAATCCACCATCACTGAACAATATTAATACTAATAACAATAACAACAATGAGGAGTACATATGTTATGTAGTAGTCATAATTGTGAGTAAATCTTATATACGGTGCTGACAGTGTATACACAATCGCGGTTGGATGCATGATACATGAGTAAAATTTGAAATTTAAATTTAAATTCGGATGAATTGTCATGCATCCAATCCAATGGTGATAATGAGTATTTATACGCTGTCAGTGTATAGAAGATTAATCCAATAATTATTGCCCTAATAAAATTATCAACAAAATATGAAACGCATAAACGGCTCTCCTACCATTTCCCAGAAATATTATAATTTAATTTATATGTATTAGCGTGGATGCTAGAGGATTAAATCTTAATTCCGACTCTTAATTCAGGAGTATTAGTACTAGAGCAACCTCAATAATACTTATTAGTATTAGTAATTTAGTATTAGAGCACTATTAGTACTTAATAGTAGTAATAAATGAAACCTTTGATGATCATGCAACTCCCTCACGAAACAGGGTCGAAACGCAGAGATTTGTCGTCCTATATATGGTCCCACACGCTCCTCCTCTTCTCTTCTCTCCCCTTTTTTTTTTTTTTTTTGGTAATAAAAGGGACAAATTGCCGAGTTATCATCTCATCTTATGTACTATATTGCCGAGTTATTGGATGATGATGATATCAACCTGCGTGTTGAAAAAATGAATACTACTAGTTTACGACTAGTTGAAGTATTTCTTCCTCTTATCAGTAGTAATCATCTAGTTACATATAATAGTAGTGAAAAAGACAAACGAGACATATACTACTGGTATAATTAGCTAAGAGGAGGAAGGGAAGGAAGAAACAAGGAAGGAAAGGAGGAGAGTACTGGTGGCGGAGCTTGGACCGATTGCTAGTTGGTGGCCTGAGCCTCTGAGAGAGAGAGAGAGAGAGGGGCATATAGCCTAACTAAAAAGTAGTAATATATACTAAGGAAGGAAAGAAGGATACATCATCAATATTGAGAATATCGATCATGGCAGGAGGAGGAGAAGGAGAAGGAGTTACCTTGGAGTATACACCGACGTGGGTGGTGGCTCTGGTGTGCACCGTTATAGTTGCCCTCTCTCTCTTTGCCGAAAGGGTCCTTCACTATACCGGCAAGGTACCTCCTACCTATTTCCTGCCTGCCTGCCTCCCTGCATAATATACTACTCCTATTTCCCAGCTAGCTAGATAGCTCTAGCTAGCTGCTGCTCATCCAACCTTCCATTCATCATTCATTTTTTCTTTCATGATACAACATTGGTCGCATTCGTGGGCTAACTAACAAATTCTTCTTGATCGGTTGGTGAATGGTGATGGATGGTTCTCTTCCGCGTACGTGTGCAGTATTTGCTGAAGAAGAATCAGAAGCCGCTGTATCAGGCCTTGCTCAAAATCAAGGAAGGTCCGCCCTCTGCATCACCTTCCATCTCTCTTTTTACATAAATGATATCACCACACCACACCACGCCATTCTGCTAATTTTATGGAAATGATCGTGAATGATTGATTGATGACTCTTCTTTTTTTTTTTTAACGATCATCTTCTCTCCTGGGACTCGGCCTTCAGAGTTGATGCTACTGGGCTTCATATCTCTCCTTCTCACCGTGTCCCAAAGCAGAATTAATGAGATATGCATCGCCAAGCACTTGACCGACGACTGGCTTCCCTGCAAGAAGAAAGATGATACCTCCTCCTCAACCACTTCCCACCTCCAGACTACCTCCGCCTTCTTCTCCTCTCTCCTTCCCGGACCAGGAGGACTCCACCGCCGCCTTCTGGCTGAGGCATCATCTACTCAAGGCTACTGCGAAGAAAGGGTACTGCCCTGCTAACTACTGACCTTGTTGCCCGCCTAGCTAGCTTATTCATTCCCTTTCGCCCGCCGACTTTTCTCCTCAACTTTCCAGAGGAAGTTATTATGCTTCATTTCATATAGTAAAACAGTTAAACATATGCCACTCACTCTCTCTGTTGCTAATTGGGAAATCTTCTGAAACTCAATTTTAAGTCCCGCTCTTTCTTTTGCCAGGTTCTGGAATTTCTGCATTATCATCCATCAGACTTTTAACTCCAAAATTTTCCTAACCACTTTCTTGCCTTTTGCATCAGGGGAAGGCACCGCTGCTATCTCTCACAGCTTTGCATCATCTTCACATCTTTATATTTGCACTGGCCGTTTCTCATGTCATCTTCTGTGCGCTAACAATTCTATTTGCCAGTGCAAAGGTATGCAACTTCAGGGCAATTGATCAGGAGATGGTAGTATTATTTAAACAAGTTTCTTCATTAATTATTTGTTATCAATTTTATTTGCTCTCTCTCCAAACTGCAGATCCGCCAATGGAAACTCTGGGAAGATGCTATTCAGAAAAAGGAAGATGACCCTGAACAAGGTACTTGAATTTCTTAGTACTGCTTCAGCTTTGGATTCTCCTCCCTGCACTCTTGGAATCACTAGTCATCGCATATCCGATGTATATCCAATGCATATTCGCACTTCAATTTGGTACTTATAAGCCACTTGAAACAAGTTTCATGTACTGATAAGCAATACATGTTGCAACAAACATCCCAATCAGTGTCACCTCATATGACAGGCACTATTTCACCCTGTGCAAGGTCTTCATGGGCCGTGCTTCCATTCTGTCTCAGCATTTGCTTTTGGGAAAGCAATAATATGTTTTACTCAAGTCTACTGATTATTTCTCACCTACCAATATTCAATTTAAGTTGCAATCTTGGGAACTTAAGATGTTTCTTATGCAGCTGAGCGGATGAAATTTACCCACGTCCAGGAACATGACTTCATCAGGGACCGATTTCTGGGCCTTGGAAAGGACTCGGCTGCACTTGGTTGGGTGGTAAGTTGAAGTTGAAGAATTATGTGTGATGAAACTTATGTTGCTTTCTTGCTAATTTAACAATATAAAACAAAAAACAGTAAAATGGCAACAAAATTGTTTCCTTTATTGTAGATTGTATGTGTACTTAGTGTGCTAGAAACAATTTCACTCTTCCAAATGTAGTTCTCCTACGCGATTTGGCCAACCTTATGCATTTCAATGACATTGTGTTTGGATGGAAATACTCAATGGCAGGAAACATCAATGCAGTAACAACTGTTGGTTGTCTATTGCATTGAGAGACTTCCAAAATTAATCAGATAGAAGTCAGAAGGAAAGAAACCTGACAGATAACTGGCGAAGTAACATCTGTTGTATCTTCAAATGTGATTTAATGAGTTATATACATATTTCCAGCGCATATAGTACATATATCAGACTTTTCTGCTGTTAGGTTGTAAATAAAAAGTCTGCTGATTTATTTATTCTGTGCATGACCGTCCTCATGCTTCACATGACTTTCGTTATATGATTTCCTCTAATGCATCATGTTGAACTACAAACTGGCTTGATCTTTGATCTTAACATAAAGGTTGGATTTAAGCATCACCAGGATATAAGGTAGGGGTATACGTTGCCCAAAATCATGGCTCCTCTTGCACTGTAGACTACATGATAAACTTTAAAAAATGTATAAGTTGAAAGTAGACCGAGTATCTGAGCCTAGTTTGCCACCAGATGAACTGCTTTTGTAAATATGTCCAAGGTGAAGCAGCACTTGCAGGTCTGCCATAGCTTAGCACTAATTCTCTTGATGCAAACAGAAGTTCACAGTTTTCTGTCATGCAGAAAGTAACACAATGCTCTAGTTTGGTGCCACTTTCAAATTACAATTCCGATGATCACACAAATGAATATACAGGGCTCAGTTTACACAGATGCTTAGTTCCCTCTCCTAGTTATTCTCTTGGTTAGTGTAGTTCTGAATTTTAATCACTAAGATTACCACTT